CTTAAGAAAGGTGGTCAGGAAAAGCCAGGGAACTATAGACCAGCAAGCCTGACATTGCTTGTGGCTAAGTTGTTGGAGAGAATCCTAAGGAACAGGATTTACATGTATTTGGAAAAGCAAGCACTGATTAGGAATAGTCAACATGGTGTGGAAAATTGTGTCTCACTAACTTGATTGACTTTTTTGAAGAAGTAATGAAGAGGATTAATGAGGGCAGAATGATGAACGTGATCTATATGGATTTCATAAGGCGTTTGACAAATTTCCTCATGGTTGATTGATTAGCAAGGTTAGATCACACAACTAGAGGATAATGTAGCTATTTGGATACAGAACTGGCTCGAAGGTAGAAGATAGAGGGTGGTGGCGGAGGGTTGCTTTTCAGATGGAGGCCTGTCACCAGCAGTGTGCTGGGTCCATTGCTTTTTGTCATTTATATAAATGATTTGGATGTTAACATAGGGTGTAATGGTTAGTAAGTTTGCGGGTAACATCAAAATTGGTGGTGTATTGGACAACAAAGAAGGTTACGCAGTACAATGGGATCTTGATCAGATGGGCCAATGGGCTGAGGAGTGGCAGGTGGAGTTTAATTTAGATAAATATGAGGTGCTGCATTTTGGTAAGGCAAATCAGGGCAGGCCTTGTATATTTAATGGTAAGGTCTTGGGGAGTGTTACTGAACAAAGAGACCTTGTCATGCAGGTTCATACTTCCTTGAAAGTGGAGTTGCAGATAGACAGGATAGTGAAAAAGGCGTTTGGTATGCTTCCCTTTATTGGTCAGTGCATTGAGTATAAGAATTAGGAGGTCATGTTGCAGCTATACAGCATGTTGGTTAGGTCACTATTGCAATACTACTTACAATTCTGGTCTCCCTGCTACAGGAAGGATGTTGTGAAACTTGAAAGGGTTTGGAAAAAATTTACAAGGATATTGCCAGGGCTGGAGGGTTTGAGCTATAGGAAGAGGCTGAATAGTCTGGCGCTATTTTCCCTGGAGCATCGGAGGCTGAGCCGTGGCCTTATAGATGTTCACAAAATCATGAGGTGCATGGATAGGGTAAATAGACAAGGTATTTTCCCAGGGGCATGGGAGTCTGAAACTAGACAGCACAGGTTTAAGGTGAGAGGGGAAAGATTTAAAAGGGATCTAAGAGGCAACTTTTTCATGCAGAAGGTGGACGTGTATGGAATGACTGGCCAATGGAATTGTTGGAGGCTGGTACAAATACAACATTTAAAAGGCATCTGGAAGAGTTCACGAATAGGCAGGGTTTAGAAGGATATGGACCAAATGCATGCAAATGGGACAAGATTTGTTTAGGATATTTGGTCGGCATGGATGAGTTGGACTGAAGGGCCTGTTTCTGTGCTGTGCTCCTTTGTCTTTGTCTATGTCTGTCTGTCTATGACTCTAATTTTGATCCTTTTGACCAAGGTTAACCCCATGAATACATCGTTCTTTGGTTTGGGATCTATTTTACCTCTTTCCTCAAAGAAGTGCCTTGGTTTACTGTTAAATGTTTCTTCTTGTCATTGTGGGTAATGATTACGTTTTGTTTGACACATCTAATCCTATCAGGATCTTGGCATCAAGAGAGGCTGATATACATGTTACTGACCTGTGCTTCAGGGAAACTGCTATTAATCACAGTGCTCCAGCTCCACTGATAATATTTGTTGCCTTTGAATAAAGTTAGAGTGCAGGATCAGGTAAATGTTAAATCACTTGTAGACTTCACCTGGAGAATTCTATTACAGATGTCTCACCTCATGTACATTGTGTGAGATTTAAATGCACTGGTGTGTGACCTGGACCGGTGCAGAAAAGCTGGTACTATCATGGCTGGAATTTTACCATTGGAGGTGGCAAGTCTAGTAATATGATGGCAGAAGGTCTCAGGAGGAGAGTCCAATATACTCCTCCCACCAGGGGATGATGATATGAAAGGCTTATCTTTTTACAAGGGCACTGGGACTTTACAATGGCCCCTATAGCATGGTGACTGTGCCAGCTTCAAATGGGCAGCCACTGAGCTGCTTCTGGGGTATATACGAGAGGGTGTTGCTACCCTGCTGGAGGCTCAGTGGTCAAAGTAGGGTGTTCCTGACAGGGATGATTACATAAGCTGTCACCTTTTAATGGAGTTGTCGTTGAGTTTAAGCCAACAGCTCAGAGAGGCTGGATACAAATCTTAGTTGGATGGCAGTCATGGCAATGGCTTCCTAATTGAACACTGCTGATAAAATCTCTCCTGTGGTCCCATTATTGCCAATGAGTTGAGACCTGAATTTGGTCCCGACTTTACAATCAACATGTGCTGGTAAGATTACGGCCTGTGCTTCAATTTGGGTGCAGTCAGCCATGCTGTATGTGCTTAAGCATTCATAGAGTCATAGAGTTGTGAAACTGTTGCCAGAGCTTTTAGAAAGGAAGGTTTACTTGCAAAATGATCATGTACATTGGTGGGAAAGGAAGTGTAGCTTTGGGCTTCTCATAAGATTTCTGTTTATTCTGTCTGCAAAAGTACAAACATTTTGTAAATTATTATTAAATCAAATAGAATCCAGATCATTCAGAATTGTATTAAATTCATCTGAATTCCTGTTAATATTGTATAGCAACTTATATCTCTATCATTCCAAATTTAATTTAATAAAAGATAAAGCAACTTATAATACAGACTTAATTCGTATTTTGGGGTAAAATTACAGAAGACAAATGAGATTAATAAAGTTTCCATTTCCCGAGGAGGAGTTAAGATCTGTAGGGAATGGCAAATGTCTACAAGGCTAAGACTGTGAAGGTGATAAATTACATACATGTTTTCATTATTGTCTATTAATTCCTCTCGTGGATACATACTAAGGATTTTAAAAATTTCTGTTGGTGAATCCCTACAGTTTGGAAGCTGGCATTATTGAGTCCAAACTGATCTTCCAAAGGGCATCCCACCCAGACCTACCCCCTACCCTATTATCCTGCATTCCCCATGGCTAATCCACCTGGCCTGCACATCTTTGGACTGTGGGAGGAAAACGGAGCACCCGGAGGAAACCCACAAAGACATGGGGAGAATGTGCAAACTCCACATAGACAGTCACCCAAGGGTAGAATTGAATCTAAGTCCTTGGCACTGTGAGGCAGTAGTGCTAACCGCTGAGTCACCATGCCACCCCAACTCTTGCTGTCCCTGCTGCTGACATTTCTGAAGAGTCATACTGGACTTGAAATATTAATTCTGTTTCTCTCACCAAAGAATCCTGCATGACTCTTTTTCAGACGCTCCTTCAAAGGCTGCCCTTTTTAAATGGAATACTGTGTTCAATTCTGGGCATCACACTTCATGAAGGATGTGGACACTTTCAAGATGATTCACAAGTGTGGTTGCAAAGATGAGTCAATGTGGTTATGAGGACCGGAGGACAAAGCTGTTCTCTCTCGAGAACGGAAGGCTGAGTGGAGATTTGATGGAGTCCTCAAAATCATGTGATGTCTGGACAGAGTAGATAGGAAGAAACAATTCCATTAGTGGAAGACCTGAGAATCATCTCACCTCATTATGTGTTAACCATGACTCTTGGTGCCCTGCTTGTGCCATTGTGTTCTCACCTGTGGCAGAGGAACCTATCACCACCAGGACCTTTGGGGATTCCCAGCACCCTTCACAGCACTTGTCTGAGAAGAATTGTCCCAGAGGTGGCCAAAAGAGGCAAGTTGGTACCCCATTTCACTGATAGGATTGTGGAAATCTTGGAGGACCAGGTAGTGCAGAGGTCATCCTTTTTCCTCAGGACTGCCAGAGAGAACATTTGTACCTAAGATGGTGCTGTGTGTTGGTTACATTGGATGTTTTTCACTGTACTCCTGTTCTTTTGTAACTTGAGTACATGTGATAACAAACCAAATTCTAATTCTATAGTATGAGACCCTGCCAGCCTGGTCTGAAGTTGCCACCTGGGTCATTTGGTGTCCACGGTCTGGAGGAACGTCCAGTAGTACAGGAAGAAAATTGATGACTTTCTGTATTCTGTGACAATAAGAGCCATTATTTCTGCCTGATACCTCATACTGACTCTAACTCTGCTCCTACACTCACATCTCACTAAAGGGAGAGCTCACGGGCTACCACCATTACTGTCAATATTCATAATCCTCCTTCAATTGCTGTCACCCATGCCAATTCCCACAAATAATCGATCCTGCATGCCCAGTCACTCACTTGTGATATCTCACCAGTATGGTTTTGGCCTTGTTAAGAACACATTCACAGTGGTGATAATGCAAGGGCAGCACTACATTTGAAAATCAACCTTAATTTCTGGCCTAGGCACAAGGTCTGAACAACACATGAGCAGCCAAGGATCTCTCTGGTTAAGGAAAAGATCCTTTCTTCAAAGAGGTTGTGAAGATAGATGTTGGGCACCCCACCAACTGTTTTTGTTCTCTCCATCCCTTTGTGGGATATTTTCTCCTGGAATGAGTCAAAGGGAAGGACTGAGTGAGATGAAATGTCTGGTACAGCTGTTAACGGTGCAGGGGACAGACTGTTACACGTTTTCTGAAGAAGGGTCTAGGCCCGAAACATCAGCCTTCCGGCTCCTCCGATGCTGCTGGGCCGGCTGTGTTCATCCAGCTCTGCACCTTGTTATCTCAGACTGCTGCACGCGGTGGGCGGGGTCGCGGTCAGATGGGCGGGGCATTGGTCAGATGGGCGGGGCATTAGTCAGGCGGTGATGCATAGGCGTGGCTCAGGTTAGGGACAGCGGAGGGCCGTTTTGGGGTGGGGCTATGGTCAGCTTGTCACGTGTAGGGGTGGGTGGAGCCTTGGTCAGGGGCAGGGTAACCGCCCGGTGGGCGGGGCTGTGGTTTGCACGAGGTGGGTGTGCTTGTGTATAGGGGCGGGACCAGAGTCACGTGGTGTTCGGAAGGCGTGGGCGGGTCCAGCCTGAATAGAGTCCCCGAGCCATTTAAAAAAATTGAGCGTGTGAGGTCACAATACAACAGGGCGCGCGCACAGACTCCCCTCCCTTCGCCGTGCCCGTGGCGGTTAGTGCGCAGGCTGCTGCGTTGTCAGCGCGAGCGGAGGGAAGCGCCGGGGTCTTCCTCCAAGCGCCGCGGATCATGGCGGCTCCCTTAGCGCAGTTTGATGAGGACTGGCAGGATTTCTACGAATTCAAGGCGCCGCCGGCTAGCTATCAGTTGGACCAGGTGAATTCCAACGGCGTCCCCGGTACCAGCACCGGCGGTGGCTGCGGGACGCTGGAGCACAGCCTGGAGGATTTCTCCGAGCTGGACAACTTCTCGGGCGAGATCGTGAGCTTCAAATCGATGGAGGACCTGGTCAACGACTTCGATGAGAAGCTGACGGTGTGTTTTCGGAACTACAACACCAATACGGAGAACATAGCTCCGGTCAAGCCTATCACCGAGGAAAGCATCATGAGGGACGACGAGTGAGTAGCTTCTGGCAAAGGAGGACGTTGGGTGGGTGAGGGGTAACTGGATCGAGTTCGGGGCCGAGTTGTCCCCGGAAGGTTCTTTTCAGCTTCCGAATGAAGACAAGTGATGGCAACTTTGTCCTGTTGGCATTTGAGATCTGGCTGCTGCTGTGTCACCTCCCAATGCGCCATAGTTTGACAGCTCATAACCTCACGTTTGCTGGGGAGCCTATTTCTGCAGATCTCTCCCTCCCCCTCCTTTTTGTTTCGTAATGTTCCCCTTTTATTTTTGTTGGTTTTGTTTGGATGTCGGCTGATTTAGTAGCCTTTTTTTAAAATTCCTCGTTTTCTAGCACTCACCCCCAAATGATTACGTTTTATTGCGATTTTTTTTTTTGTGAACCTTTTTCACCGTCGCTGCAAAGTTTTTATACTAAAAGCATTTCAATAATCCAGTATATATAATAATAAACTCATTGACAGCACTGGGAATGTTTAAAAGAGTTTGCACAACATGCGGGTACAGTTAACCGCTTTATTTGCAGCGATATGTAAGGGAGAGTCTGTTGTGCTTTGATCTTTGGGTAAACTGCATGCACCGTATTGCAGCTAATTTGTGCCTCTGGCTAACAGCATATCGTCATTATGCCAGCTTAGTTAAAATTCCGTGCTCCTAGTTTCGTTTGGGAAAAGTCTAATTGTAGAGTTGGATTTATATGTATTGCTTAAACGATGGTGGTGACGATTTTGGAAAGCCAAATATAGTCTCTCCTAAATGGGTAGTGATGAGTATGTAGAGTAATCTGAAAGGGTACGAGCCCATGTAATTTGTCGCTTAGAATATCAAAGTATTTAGTATAAACTGAGAATGCACATTGCAGTTGAATTGTAATTATTTGACAAGTAGCTATCAAATGTATCGCTATTGCTATTGTGTAGGTTATTTCTGAAAATGGTGATTGAATTGCATCTCTGCAGCAAGTGATTAGTACTCCCAACTTAATGTGCTAATATATCCTAATATTAAATGGAGTTACTGATGTTGGTACACTGTAAGAGACATGTTAAACCACATGTGAAATCATTGGTAATAGTATTGTGTGGCAAATTGTCAAGAAATAGTTCAAACAATGAATTGGATTTATTAACCTATCAGGTGGTCATTCTCTCAGATTATTAAAATTTGGGGTTCACTAGTTATTAATTCTTCACAATTTAATTTTTACTTGAGCATCTACAGAAATGGTGTTCTAGCTCCTTGATTCTAAATAATTATCATTGAAAAGAATTAATATTGACTCTAATGCTCATTTTTAGATGCCATTGTCTGTATAATTTAAAATTTAAAACTCAAATTTCATAGAATCCCTACGGTGTGGAAACAGGCCCTTTGGCCCAACAAGTCCACAACGACCCTTACACCATCCCACTCTGACCTAACCTACACATCCCTGAACACTACGGGCAATTTAGCATGGCCAATCCAACCAGCCTGCACATCTTTGTACTGTGGGAGGTAACCAGAGCACCCGGAGGAAACCCAAGCAGACACAGGGAGAATGCGCAAATTCCACACAGTCAGTCTCCGGAGGCTGGAGTCGAACCCGGGTCCCTAAGGCAGCAGTGCTAACCGCTGAGCCACCGTGCTGCCCTAAATTATCGAAGAGACTTTTGAAATTGTATCGTTACAAAATTTAATTGATTTTCCACTTTTTTCTGGTAAAATGGATGGATTCGTAAACTTGCAGATGACTCAAAAGATCGGCAAAGTTGTGGATAGTGTAGAAGGTTGTCGAAGGATACAGTGGGCTATAGATCCATTGCAGATGTGGTTGGAAAGATGGCAGATGGAGTTTAATCCAGGCAAATGTGAGGTATTGCACTAGTGGACATCAAACGTTAAGGGAAAGTATACAGTTAATGGTAGGACCCCTACCAACACTGATGTATGGAGGGATCTTGCAGTACTTGTGCATAGCTCCCTGAAAATGGTGGCACATAGATTGGACAGTAAAGAAGGCATATGGCATGCTTGCCTTTATTGGTCAAGGTATTGCGTACAAGAATCAGGAAGTGATGTTGCAGCTTTATAAAAATTTAGTTAGAGTACTGCATTCAATTCTGCTCACCACAGTACAGGACGGATGTGGAGGGTGCAGAGGAGGTTTACTAGACTACTACCTGGATTACAGGGTATGATCTATAAGGAGAGGCTGGATAAGCTAGGGTTGTTTTCTCTGGAACAAAAACATCTATGCTGCTAGACCTGCTAAGCTTTTCCAGCAACTTCTGTTTTTGATCCTGATTTACAGCATCTGCAGTTCTTTCGGTTTTTTTTGTTTTCTCTGGAGCGGTGGAGGCTGAGGGGAAACCTGACTGATAGAAGTTTATAAAATAACGAGAGGCATAGATAGGGTTGACAGCCAGAATCTTTTTCCCAGAGTTGAATTCTCTAATACTAGAGGGCATTCATTTAGGGTAAGAGGGGAAAAAGTTCAAAGGAGATGTGGGGGCAAGCTTTTTTAGAGGTAGGTGCTTGGAACACGCTGCCAGGGTCGTGGAGGTGGAGGCAGATACAAGAGGGTCGTTTAAGGGGCTTTATATAAACATATTAATAAGCAAGGAATGGAGGGATATGGACCATGGGCAGGCAGAAGGGATTAGTTTAACTTGGCGTCATGTTCTGCACAACACTGTGGACCAAAGGGCCTGTTCCTGAGCTGCACTGTCCTATGTTCTGTGGTTCCACATGAATTGTTTTTTTTTTTTAAATTCTTCCTCTTCCTTTGTTTCTTATGCACACTTGTTGGTTTTTTTTTTTTGCATCAGTTCTTCTTATTCCTCTCCATCTTCTGTTTCTCCTTTCAGTGTGGCTATTGTTTCTTGTGTACTTTCAGTTCCAATTTGTTCAGGTTTTATCCTTAATTATTTTTAAAGGTATAGGTTGACTACTTTTCACTTTCAAAATGTCTAATGTTGTATATTTCCAAGTTTCTTGACACAATATTTTGATAGATCTTGCTTTTCAGGTTGTGTTTATAGTTATGTTTTAGTCTTGCTCCTGTGCTATAAATCTGTAAATACAGAATAATCAGTAGAAAACTGATAAAAATAAATTGCAGTCATGCAAATGTGAAACTTCAAAAAAGTCAAGTTATAGACTTGAGCTATGAGTGGTGGCAATGGCCTAGTGGTATTATCACTGGACTGTTAATCCAGAGACCAGATAATGTTCTGGGGACCAGGGTTCGAATCCTGCCATGGCAGATGGTGGAATTTGATTTTCAATAAATATCTGGAATTAAGAGTCTAATGATGACCATGAATCCATTGCCGATTGTTGGGAAAAACCCAACAGGTTCACTAATGTCTAAAGAAAATTGCTATTTTACCTGGTCTGGCCTACATGTGACTCCAGATCCACAGCAATGTGGTTGACTCTGAGCTGCCCTCTGGGCAATTAGGAATGGGCAATAAATGCTGCCTCGCCAGTGATGCACTTATCCCATGAATGAATAAAGAAAAAAAATGCGAATTGTGAAATCTTCTAAATTGTCAAGCCATTGCTCGCTCGAGCTATATTCCTAGTTCTTTGTGTATCAGTAGTTCTGGAGGTCATATTTGGAAATGGATGCGTGTCCTTCAAAGCTAAAGTTGGCATCAACAGATAGTGTCATTCTCTTTAAAAATTACAATTATCTCTTATTTATATATTACACGTGGCTTCACAGCATCCATTGATACATCTGAGCTGGTTAACCCATAATCTTGTCTTCCTGCAACTCTGAGGGATTTGAGATGCCTTGATCTGGACACTTTTCAGATTGGTCTTTATGGAACTTTACTATGTACAAATTAGTTGCTGAGTTTCTTGTGCTATAAAGCATTAGCAGTTAAAAGTATATGATCGTTCACGAATGATTTGAGTCATCCTGAAGTGGTGAAAGGGACTAGATCGACTCAAGTCCTCTCTTTCTTCCCCCAGTCTACTGCCCAGGTTCAATGAGCACAGGTATGGCACTTAGCATTGATCACTTCTCAAAATATTCAGCGTATTATAAATTAGCCCAAAAATAATTTGAGAATATAATTAACGTGTCTGCTCCCAATCTGTCACTTCAGAACACTTAAGCCGAGCGTTGTGAGACAAGCTTTTACTGAATCAATGCTCTCCTTCTATCTCGGTGAAATGTTGTTGAACATCTTGTATTGCACGTGCACATTATTTGAAGCTTTAATTTTCGCCGTTTCAAATCCTGTTAACTGTCTTAAATGTACACTGTCCTTCATTCACTATGTGAGGCAGAAAGAGGTGACTACTGAATTTTACTGTACTAAATTTAGCAATTTCCTTTTGGCATTTAGGTACCATTAATAGTCTCCGTTACTAGATTTTCTGCATAAGAAAACATGAGACCATAAGGTAAAGAATAGCATGAGGATCAAGCAGGGACTAACACTTCACGATATCATGAAGAGCCAACCAATGCTATAGCTAAATGTACCCAACAGCTTTTGCACCTCTTGTTTTGTTTAGATTTGTGCTAGCTTGCTGGATGAGTTTTTCAAGCTGCCAGCTGCCTGGATTTTTTTCAGCTGCAATTAGCGTGTGGCATGTGATGAAGAAGAATGGAGGGAATGGATTCTCCAGATTTTGCTTTTTAAGTCCTATTTAAAAATTGATTGTTCTGTGACATAAGGATGATCCTGCAGGAGCTTCATTGAGGGAATCATTAATATTTTGAGCAATATTTTGACTAAAAACAAACACAATCTTTCAGTAGAGTATGTTGTGTCTGAGGTTACGTTTAGGAGCCAGGGCTGCGCAGTGACTTATTCAAAACACCCAAATGGTTTTGCGAAATTCCACAAGTTTTTCCAATGTCTGTGATGTAGCTGCTGTACGCTTTCCCAATACAACTTCTCTTCCTTGATACCAAACTTACACACTTTTGAGTTGTATTGCCACGCGTGCAGTTGTGTGCATTGCAAAATCTTTTGAGATTACTTTGGTT